TAAATGGGTATAGGTACAAATTGGATATAATAATGCCCATGTGGATTATACATTTTCCAACTGTCAAATATTTTAAATTACTGTCTCTATAAATTTATGTCTTATAATATTTCTAAACATTCTCTGGGGTGTACTATAATTTTCACATTGTTATCTCATTCTTTGGCTTAATAGGATTAGTAAACGTTTTGAAGTTTTAATTTCAGTTTTTCCCACTGCTCAGAATTTGATGATATAAAATGAAAAGAGGTTTCCATAGTTGCTAACATTCACCAGATTTTGTTCCAAAGCATAGGCTTTAGTAGACTTTTGAATTAAATCCACATTCTCCATCCAAGCCTAGTGATATAATCCAACAGTTCAAAGATAGGTATGCCATAAACAGCTATAGTTAAATAATCTAAAAAAAAATTAAAACATGGAAATACAATAAAATAAGAATTGATCACTTTATAGTGGAATACTCTATAAACTGTCTGCATTGGAAACATGTGGTAAGTTTTAAAATGTCTGAGTTCTATAATTCTTAAGTGTATAGTTTATGAAAGTAGAAACATTTTTTTCCTTCCTCTGCATATATGTGAGAATACTGGCTAGTGTATTTTTTACAGTCCCAATTTGCATTCATTTACTTATTTTTGATTTAGTAAAATCAACTTAGAGCACAAATACATAGCAAGTATACTCAAGTAAATAGTTTAATCATTAAGTACAAAAGTATGAACATAGTTATTAATTCTATAAATCTTGCTACTTTATCTCTAAAATAAAAATCACACATTAGCATAATCCCATATAAGAGGAAGACATTATCTGAAAGCATGGTAGAGATAATTAATAGGGTCTTTAATTTTTAAAGCATGTAGTTTATGAGAGCTTTGTTTTACCAACTGTGTAATAATTACAGAAGCTAAAATATACCAGTGACTGCCCTGTGTGTCTTCACAATCTCATTTAACTTGTTCCCTCAAGTTGTACAACTCTCCTATGTATGGGACAATTAAATGCTTAACCATCAAAAAGAAGCCTGGCTGTAGGTTATACTGTTTTTATTTTATTTATTGATTTTTAAAGTGAATTTTTATCATCATTTTTTTAATATTTATTTTTTATTTACGCAATAGCTGGGGTACAGCCCAGAGGCCTGGGAGGGTGAGAGGATTCACCAGAGACAGAGTGGGGAGCAGAACAGGCAGACAGACAAAAAGCACTGCTGAGGGGGGCAGCGGGCAAGAGAGGAGAGGTCTGCTGTGCCATGTGGGAATCCCTGGCCGGCCAGGAATCAAACCTGTGCTGCAGAGTCTGCAGACAGCTTCGCAGTGCTGTGCTCAACCTGGGGAGGCCCAGTTATACTGTTTTTAATGGAATAATTCACTTTATTTTCTGGGTTGCCTAGAAAGTTGTGTTATGTGTGTATATGCAGAGCCCTAACAGCCTGCCAGGGGAGTGAACGATGTTCACTTGGCAGTGAAAAGGCCAGTTCAGTAGTTTATTCAATATTTTAAAAGTTTTTTTTTTATTTTATATAACAAAAACAAACCCTAATCCAAAGCATGTAAAATGAGATTCTCCTCTTAAATACTGAAAATAAATTAGTCTTCCATTTTTAGGGTGTAATATCCCTACCCCTGTATTATTATTTTTTTAAAGATTTATTCATTTATACAAGAACTGGGGTACAGGCCAGATGTGCAGGAGGGTGAGAGGATTCACCAGAGACAGAGCAGGGAACAGAACAGGCAGACTGATGAAATACACTGCTGAGGGAGCAGTGGGCGAGACAGGAGAGGTCTGCTGCACCATGTGGGATTCTCACAGGCTGGCCGGGATCAAACCCACGCTGCAGAGACTGCGGACAGCTTCACAGTGTGGCATTCAACCACCTGCGCCACCAGGGAGGCCCCCCCTGTATTATTTTGTTCATGCTGTTTTCTTTTCCTGTTCACCCACTCCTACAAAATGAATAGTGTGTTTAAAAAAAAAAATCATTTAGAGGTAAAGAAGAAAGGAAGCACAAAGGACTTCAAGGAAAAGAGTGACTGCCCTGAATTCCTGGACATAGGGTGTAAGTCCTAGCCCTTTCCTGGTGTGACCCTCCCAAGTACCTGGCCCTTTAGAAAGGACATCATTAAAGTCTCATTGGATAAGATGGTCTGGAGGACTCACACTGCTTAGTGAAAAGTGAAAAAAAAACGGAATAGGCCAGTCTCGGGGGTGCTGTGTCTCCAGTAGGAAACCTCTTGCTCTAGTGGCTTCATTATGGTAATAATAAGGTCCTGTGGCATAGACTAGGGGCAGATCATTTCACATCTGGGCCTCACTATCCTAGGAAAGGTGGCACTCGATTTGTTCCCATTCTGTGAGGTTATGATGTTGACCTAATGTCAATAGCCACCCCTGTTTATTGAGGGCTTCCTCTATGCTGCGCTCTATTCTCTCATTGCATATTTGTAATAGTCCTGTCTCAAGATATTTATTACTACCTGTGTTTAACAGACTTGGAGAAATTATATAAGTAATTGTAAATGATTTCCATGGAATGAGGAGCAAAGCTAGAGTGTGTACTGGCCTTTTCCTCCAAAGCATGATTTTCACCCCACGTAAAAGGGCTATTTTCTGCTGAGACTCCCTTGTATACATTTTCAATCCAAAAAAGGCCACTAGGCTATATATACGATTTGTATACAAAGCAAATATAAACTGGTGGATAACTCATAGATCCAAAAGAAGGAGGAAATATTCTTGTTTTAAAGTATGTCTGGTGATATGATTTCCTGCTGAGAAAAAGAAAGCTTAATCTGAGTTAATTTTCCATGTCTCTTGTATAACTAAAGGATAAAGGACTCAGTATACAATACAATTCTTTAGCTTGGTCCATTTTATTAAAAAGAAATTAATGTAATTTGTTGAGAAAACTTATTTAATAACAGCAGACCCAACTAGACATTTTTAGCTAGAAATTATCTAATCTGAGAGGAATGTATTTATTATACAGATAGAAGTAATGACTAAAATAGCCATTAATGTCTTCAACACACACTTTCCATTTGGTCAGTTTTAATAGAGATGAAAGCAAAAGCAAAATTGCATCAGCCTCATCTCCCAGTGCAAAGAAATGTAGGGGTTGTGTTTCCTCAGAAGAATGGACCTCTAGGTTTACATGTAGAGGGAGGTGAAGGGGTGAAGGGATGACTCTTCACTTCCTTCTTCAAGGGAGAGCACCCCAAATGGGAGCAGTGTAGTTGAGTGGGAAGCCATGGATAACATCTTGCTTCCTGCATTTCATTGTGTCCTATAAAATCTGCATGAGCAGTTTTGAGTTTGCCCATCATGGCTGAATTGCATTGGCTTTTCTTTCGTTCAACCCATTTAGCAAAAAGTTGTTCAATGAGATAATATTTTATTACAGTGTTTCTTGATCACCCTGAAGAGTACCTTTTAGGAAGTGAGCACCTTTGTGCTCTGTTGAGTGGGATTGAGCCTTCAGTTCATTAAAGAAGAGATGTAGAGGAGCTGGCTTTCATTGGACTATTGATTTTGTCAAATTCTCTCCCGTCTCTCCTCCTCTGCTCTCCTGACTTATTCCACAGCATTTGGAGATGATGGATTCTGCCAGTTGATATGTATGAATTCAGTGTGTTACCTTGTGTTCTCAAGTGTGTGCATGTAAAAAGGACGCCTCTATTTTGGTGATGTGTAGTTAGTTGTCTGTCCCCTGGGTTTGAGTGGCAGAATGGTGGAACACCAGATGCCCTTAAGCTATTCTCCTGCTTTAACACAATGCATGGAAATGTATTAGTGTGTGCTTATTTATGTGAAGTATCAGGTGGGCAAGAAAAGGGAATATTTTAAAATCATTTAAGTGTTTATTTATTTTTTTTTTTACAAGTGCTATCCAGGAAGGTAATGATTTGAAAAGTTTCACAGAGTGGAAAGGCCATTAAATCCCGTTGTCCTGTCTCTCCAGGGGCCACTTAGAAGCATGTGCTGGGGCTTAGAGTGTGTTTGTGATTTTCAGATGTGATGTGGACCTTGTTCCTGGTCATTACTGCTTAGAGACATACATCTCTAGGAGCCCCAGGGTGTGGGGTTAGCATGGAACCCAGGTTCCTGAGGCTCAGGTGGAGGGAGAAGTGGAGCACATGTATGGAAATGTGGACCTTTGTTGCCTTGGGAATATGGTAATAAATACTGCTGCTCTCTTGTGGCTGTGTGCCTGAGAATGTTGCATTTTAAATTGGAGAGGGATGTTTCTTCTATTTAGATACAAGGCATTAGGAGCGCTAGACTATTTGTTTTTACATCTTTGTTCTCAGGAAGACTCACTCAGGCTTCATACAAGCATTTCATCTTAAAATGAGGATTGAGAATTATATTCATGCAAACCTTCCCCACCCCCCCAGGTCTGTTAAAAAAACAAAAAAAAACAAAACATTTCCAGACATTCTGGATCAGGATTTTAAAGGGTTGGAGACTGCAAATCCACATTAAAAAAAGTTTCCTACGTGAGTCTTCTGCACACCTAAATTTGAGCATATTTTACAGAAAAATAACCCCTCCCCCCAGCTTAAAAGGGCAGATAGTACCCAACACAGAAGCACTTTATAAAAATTAGGTTAAAGATGAAGTGATTAGTTGAACCTTCAGCTTCTGCAAAGACTGTCCCTCTCAGGAAGGGCACTATCCTAATTGCTGTAGTAAAAATGAGAACAACTCATTCTATTAGTTCTCCTTCGCCTGTGTGACTCATTCAAATAATTGGCATGTGGAAAAGATCAAGTGGAGAACATTTAGAATCTTTTATGCTCTGATCATTATGAATAAAAAATCAGAATGTAGTTAACTTTATAGAGTTAAGCAGTTTTTACAAAATGGGTCAACATGAGTTAAAATAGGTATTTTCTCACCAGCTATATTGTGTAGATATTAAATATTGCTTTAAACACAGAAAAAGGGTAATTTTGTAAAAAATACTTACTTGCTTTATTTTTTTTTAACAGGAAAAACTAACCCAAGAGTGTGTATTCAGAGAACAGTTTGAAGAAAACTGGTATAATACCTACTCATCCAATCTATACAAACACGTGGACACTGGAAGGCGATACTATGTAGCCTTAAATAAAGACGGGACCCCAAGAGAAGGAACGAGGACTAAACGGCACCAGAAATTCACACATTTTTTACCTAGACCGGTGGACCCCGACAAAGTACCCGAACTATATAAGGATATTCTAAGCCAAAGTTGACAAAGACAATTTCTTCACTTGAGCCCTTAAAAAAGTAACCACTATAAAGGTTTCATGCGGTGGGTTCTTATTGATTAGCAGTGTCATCACATCAGCTCCACTGTTGCCAAACTTTGTCGCATGCATAATGTACGAGATGGAGGCTTGAATGGGAACATGCTGATTTTGTTCTGCACTTAGAGGCTTGACCTCCTGGAGGCCTGCTGAGGCCCACAGGCTTGATTAATTGTGAGAAGAGCAGGGGGAGACCGAGAGCGTGTGAGTGTGCGAGTGGATGGGTAGCAGGGGAGAGTGGAGAGCAGCAAAAGCAGAGAGGACTACGGCCTGATGCATGCTGGGAAATAGACACGCTTTTACATTTTTGATCAGTTGTACTTCATCCTATACAGCACAGCTGCCATACTTCGACTCATCAGGATCTGGCTGGTGGCCTGCTCAAGGGCACGCTGCATTTTCAACGGCATGGAGGGTGCAGTCTTACTTAAAAGACTTTTTCAGTTAATTCTTGCTGGTGTCATCCCAGTGAATTTAAAGCAAAGACCTCTTAGTAAAAGAAAAAGTTAAATTTATTTATAGAAATTCCAAAGGCAACATTTTATTTATTTTATATATTTATTTATTATATAGAGTTTATTTTTAATGAAATATGTACAGGCCAGATAGGCATTTTGGAAGCTTTAGGCTCTGTAAGCATTAAATGGCAAAGTCTGCTATGAACCTGTGGTAAATTCATGCAAGAAAATATAACGGTGCATGGATATGAGAAATTCTAATGACCCTAATGTACTAAAGGTGACAATCTCTTTTGTGCCCGTATTATTGTAAACTTATGCACATCATTCATGACACTGAGTATTCACTCTTCAGACTGCTTGTTTCATAGCTTATCCCAGAGGATTAAAGATAAACTGGGTCTCAAACTTTTATTCTGTGTCTGTTATATTTCCTCTCTCATAGTGACTTACTCCATCATTGTAACTTCACTGTTGGAAAGTATAAGGGTTGGTATATATCCTACTTGTTTAAATTCACTGCAGAATATACCAAAGCTCAAAAATAACTGTGCTTTTATTTTAGCTGATCGCCAGAACAATAGGACTAACATCAAACATTGTACTGATTTAGAATTCTCAAAAAGGAAGAAAGAAACTTACATAAGCACAGATTTTTTTTTTTTTTTAAAGGACAAGAATCAGATTAATAGGATCATTCTGGAAAACTTTTTGTGCCCTTGTCTATCAAATATGAAGTTATACAAGTACCATAAGGGTCACTACAACATTTTTTATAGAAAATTGCTTTTGGTGTGAATTGTCATAATACATGGTATTAGCACCCTTCAAGAAAAACTTGCAAAGTGAAACCAGTAAATCTTCATCAACAATGACAATGAGGGGGAAAGCATTATATTTGTTGACTGTGTTTTGTTTTTTAAAATGGTCTTCTCAAGAGCTCAATTTTTTTAGGGGGGGTTACTATATAGAATATCTTTTACAAAGCTTTTATAATATTTTATGCGGACAAGCAGAATACTTATTTCTTTAGTAGCAATAATTTTGGAACTTGCCCTTGGGCAAGGGAGACTATTTCTTATTATATATTAAGGAGAAAAGAGCCAAATTCTTAAAGCAATATTTAAAAAAAGGAATTTATAACAAATTCTCATACCACATATAACTCTAGCCAGTTATGTTGGGAAATTGAAAGTGACAGTTAAAAAATGTGTTGGGATTTATGTAACTAATTTTAAAATTTAATACTCCAACTTTGTTTTGCTCTGATGCACATTCTCTATGAAAAATAAAAGTATGTCACTGGTGAGTTAAAACGTTTGAAGTGGAAGTGCATGACTTCTTGCTGTGAGCACACGTGGCCCTTCTATGGTCCAACTTGGAGAATGTAGCAGAATCTTCCTGCTGATGTGCATTATGGAAAAAATAAGTTTAGCATTTCGAATTAAGAAATACTTGGGGGGGAGGGGACAGAAGCAATGTAAAATAGTTGATTTATGATAAAGGTCAGAACGTCCTCTTCATTTATTTTCTTGGATTTTAAAAAGCTTTCTAAACAGAAACTACATTTAATTCCAAGATGTACTATTCTTATTTATTATTTAACCCTTTGCTGCTGCTAAAATGTGCACATATTCAGGCTTTAGTTTTTCCAAAAGGCATTTAATAATTTTGGCTGAAAAATATTAAACATCTAAACCACAGGGAAGAATCAATTTTCTAGGATGTCATAGGTACAATATTTAGCACTGAAGAAACTGATTTTAGGAGCTAGCCAAAAGTAATCTTAAAGTAGCGAGATGCTAAATGATCAGCCTAAAAGAAAGCAAACAATTTGTGAAAAAGATTCTCCATTCATTTCTAGGAAATGCTACTTTAACATCTACTTTTGGAGTTACTTTGTTCCGGTAACTTTTATTTGAAAAAGCAAAAAACAGAATGTTATATGTTTTTGGCAACTGATACAATAAATTGTAATGGTCTGTAAATAAATAATTGACTTATGCAATTTATGTAAATAAGTGTCCTGGGAAAGTAGATGGCTCAGGGTTTCAGTGTGGGCATTGTCCTATTGGGCAGTAGAGCGATTGTCCCCAACTCATTGGTATGAATCTGATTTTTGCCATAAGAGACCCAAAGCCCATTGGATGGCGACCCTGAGCCACCATGGAATGACAGATGCTCGACAGCCAAACCACTCACTTGCACCTTGGTCAAAGACTTAACAGGCATGGACTGAACCACCTTCCCATCATCATGTGAATGTCCCCAGGCCGTGTCTATGGACACGCCAGGTCAGTGTTGGGGAACCTGTCCCTGCCAGGTCCTGTTTTGTAGATAAATGACTGGCTTCAGTTTATGGTTGTTTTTATTCTATTTCATCTCGTTAACACTACAACATTGTTTTATTTACTTGATAATCTGTAATTGTATGTAAATACATACAGGATCATGTAATTTGTGTAAATACATAATTACAGACTTTTGAAAACTGGTATTTTTTACTTCATGTCCATTTTGGAGCTGCTTCAGATTATGTGCCTACATGAACCAATGGAATTTTAAAAACATGCTCTCCACTCTTACAGCTGTTGCGTGTGTGTTGGGGGGATAAGGGGTTGTGGGGGATGGAGAAGGAGGAACAATACATCTCAATGTCCTTTCTTTTCAGTATGAGATAAAAAAGGAAGTAATCTTTTGGGATAAAGATTTATGGACTTGCAGCCAGCAAAACATGGTGTATGTGCATATTTTCGTGGATGGGTAAATGGACAAAAGTATATAATTTGAGGTCAAATTCTGTTTGCTGCATCACTTGACCTTCAAATGTGCCAACTTTGGATTTACTGTCTGTGGTCACTTGTAGAAAAAAAAAATGAAATGGAGGGGGTGAGGTAAGCTGCCATATGAATTAGAAAGATGTTAGCCACCAAGCCCCTTGCAAGATTATGTTGTGTATGTATGTTATATACACCATATAATACCCATATGTATCCATGGCCATTTCACATTTTAAAACCAACACTTTATTGTTAAAAGTGGAATGGGGCCAGATATATAACAATAAACTCTGACTACCTCCTTTAGTATATAGCCCACAACCCTGGGTTCAGTTTTGTAGAGTGGCTGGGTCAGATATGGTAAAAAAAGGTACAAACAGTGGCTTGGAGTGTGATTTCTACATTTTATGTTCAGTGAGCCTTGGGGATTGCCCCCTTAAGTCTACAAGAATTTTTGAAGGTCACTTTTCTTTACCAAGGGAGAGACATGTAGAAAAAGAAAGAGCTTCTATAATATTCTTTGAGAAGAAAGTGAAATTATTTTCTGAATGTATTTTCTTCTTCATGCTTCTGTAGCAGTTGTCAGGTTGACAGACATCTGCTTGGAGGCTGGATGGTTATTGTGATGACCACGAAGGCGGCATATAAAACATCGAGAAGTTCCTTTGCTATTTAGATTAATAGCAAAAGAAAAAAATCTTACTTAGACTTCTCATTATTTCAGCTTATATCTTAGCAAAACATCTTTGAAGCTTAATTTTAATTAAAAGAATTTGTAAGCATACCAAATATCTCAATAGCTCTTGGCAAGCTGTGCGTGTAACTGGCTCTGGCTCTTTTTCCTGTTCCCTTTTGAGGATCCCTCTAATTATGTTTGCGGTTTAAAAATGATTCCCATTTTTATTAGTGGGCTTAGCTAGGAACACTTAATACCAGGAACTAAGGAGTTAAAAAGTGTAAAGGGGACATTTGGAGCTGAACAACTGGTTCTGCCATCCTCCAAGTGGGGAAGGGCATTATCTACAATGTTCATGGCCCAGTTTGGAAAAATTATTTTTAAAAGCACTAATGCAGGCTTTTCCCTAACCATTTTGTGGGATGTTGCAAAACATTCTGCAAGCTCCACCTGGCTGTTGCCTCTGGCTTCTAGTGTATGCATATGTACAGGGCTGGTAAATGACAGGTTTGTTGAGATTTCTGTTTCTGACTAATAAGAAAGGGCTTTTCCTAGTTTGTGAAAATATTAAAATTATAACTGCCTTTTCAGAAGGAAGTGATACTCCAAATGTCTCTTTATTCTAGTGTTGACCAAATCCCCTCTTTCTTTCCCTCCATCTATTCCTATTTTTCTTTGCCTCACTCTCCCTCCTTTCATCATATTATTGTGTGGATGGCACACACAGAGTTTAAACAAACAGACATTTGGGTATATCATGAACACTGTAATAGGAGGGGATTGGTGCCTGTGGGACATAAAATATGTCCAGTGCAGACTATGAGGGCCCTATAGCTAAGGTGAAGTGCACAGGATGAGAGCTCTAGCCTCTGGTGTTCTAAATGTGTCAGAAGAGAATTTGTGCTTGGAGAATTTGGGCTCCTCTTTCCTTTTGCTGTTTCCTGGATGGCCATTCCTGTGCCTGCGGCTGTCAGAAGTGCTGGTGGATAGGCTGACAGAAGTCTTGAGAATCCTGCCCAGTGTGGAGGGGCACTGGTTCTTGGTGATAGGCAGAACCAGTCTTTGAGTCAGTCCAGCTCTTTGCCCCGCACTTACTGAGTCAGCGTGCTCATGTTTATTCTTGGTTTCTATCCAGAGGAGGTGACACCATTAATTTTTGTCAATATCACTCTAACTTTCCCTCTCACATTTACCTTATGTCACAGGGAAATCCACAATATAATAGCAATGAAGAAATATAGGGTAATAAAAGGTGAAACTATAACAATATTTAAAATATTGACTTCATTCTTTCAACAAAATGTTTGAACAATTGCTATGCCACATGGGACAATATGAAGACATATTAGAGAAAAATATGGATATATTCTGATCTTGTTACTTAAATACTGGGCTGGGTTTTATGCCAATGATTATATAAACATGCAGTACCTGCTTAAGATACTGTAGCATGGGTATTCCCACATTTAAGGCAATTAGGTCAATGTTGGCAATTTCCCATGAATTTAATCTATTTACAGCTATGTATTCAATTTATATTAATATCTAAGAATTCAGTTAGAAGCAGCCCCATTAAATTTTGTTGTTTTAAGTAGGATCGCAATTTAAAAAGTGTCCTCAAATTTTATAATAGAGGTTCTTTCAGTAGATGAGATCTTTCTTGGTGGTAAATAAGTTTCCTTTGAAAATGAGAATAGCGACTAGCCCAATTTTCCCTCCTTGAGAAGAGCTACGACAAAAGGCAATGGAATTCTGAGAATTTGTCGAGATTTATGAGTTATTTTAAGGGTCTCAAAACTTGGAGAAGCTAAGAAAATAATTAAGGAAACTTTGGAAAACACCAATTTCCCATAGATCCTACCTCATTGAAATATAAATGTGCATGTGAGTATAGTCCTAAAACCAGACAAATGAAATTATACTTCTTGATTAGAGGAATAAAACTTTTCATTTTGTTTTCACCAGAATTACAAATCTGTGGTTATTCAGCTTCTGGGTTTCACGTGACTTGCTTTGATTTTGTTTTCCAGTTATAGTGGTAGTATGACTTCCAACTTTCTTGGGTATTCTCTCCCTATCACACATTTAAAGGGCAGACATGTTTAGGTGCATGTTACAGAATATTACTGACCAAATGTGACAAATCATTTACAGAATTTCTCCAGAGAGTTTTATGGTCATAAATTTGCCATAAGAAATGAGTACTAATTGAACTAAAGCACTAGGGCATATTGATGAGATAAGAAACTCTCCATCCTTCAGAAGATTCACTGACTGTACTGGGATGGATAAAACCTAAGGGTAGAACATTTCCATGATGTTGTCATTTACCCAGGGACTCATGTGCCATCTCTAGATAAAATTGCGTTATGAATGACTTTTTGGTAAGTGGGCACACAATTAGAAATCGAAATATTTCTTTCGATGATATGCTTCAAAGAAACAACTTTAAATTTTGTGTTGTATCCAGGGTACCTATACATATGCTTGTTTCTTCCATCTGTCATATTTATATGCAAGATGGTTAAATTTTGCTATTCTTACTTCAGGATTTTCATTTGGTTCCTGATATAAAATGCGTATTTATTTAAATATATAGATTATTAAGCAGAAGAGTTCATTAACAATGATTGCCATTGAATTAATGGATTAACCTTCCTGAAAATACAGTCTAATTTTACCTAGTTCATATACATGAGCCATGGCTCCATTCTGGGTTCCATGTGGTGCTAAATATGTTTTCAAATGCATCAGTACCTTGAAATGGGCAATTTGCATCTCAAATGAGTTGTCTTATGTTCTAACTCAATGATTGCTGTAGACACGTGGGTCATAAGACTTTTTCAAATCACAGAAAACTAAAATAGGAAAACTAAAACTAAAATAGAAATAATAAATATATTGCGGTTTGGGCAAATGAAATTTTTTTTTTTGTAGCCATGGATCATATTTGGTGTCTTTTTTAAAAAAGCAAAGTCTTAGAAATTGGTTAAATATTGAATTTTGAGTAAACTCATGATTTTTCAAAATGTCCACAATGCCCAGTGGATGGTTTAGACCTGACCAAACTTAAGTGAAAAAAAATTGAATTGAAACTCATTAATTTATTTAGTAAGCAATTATTGATATATTCTCCATTATGAAGTAGAATTGTTAAGATTTATTTCCATATACAATGTAAATATATATTGACCCATTTGACTTATGCCTACCCCTTGTGGAAATGAACTAATTGTCATAAGATTTTCTTATCTTCTCCCTCATACAAAATACCACTTCTTTCTGGAGAAGAGGACTTGGATGTGGCTTAAAGCAGAGTAACATTATTTAAAGCAGGTACTGTACAGGTACTTTACAGTACCTGCTTTAAATAATGGAATTCTGCCAGTCGTAGGTCTTCTTTTGGTTCCCAAAGGAATTCCTTTTGGTTTAATTTTGAATTGAAAAGTGTCTCTGAAAAATCACACATGCATAAAGTCTAAATGATGTAATTTAGCATTCTTTTGGGCATGTTTTACAATCATTAACCTATATTTTTAGTTCAGAGCAGCAGTTAAGTTTCAAAATTCCTGTGTGACTGTTTTTATCTCAGAAACATGTGATGACTTGTCATGAGGCTATCTTATTTGGGAACCACACCCAACGGTTTTGAGTACTCAAGTAACTATATTAAGGAGTATGTGATAAATGTATGAATGGTTTATAAATACTTTGATTATGTACTGCCCTCTAAAAGGGGACTGTGTACCGGTTAGTAAATGAGTATAAGGAAACTGCATGAGGATAGGGACAAAGCCACCTAAAAAGGTGAGAGGTAACAGCACTTGGAGTTTCCAAAAAAAAGGGTCAGGGCCTCCCCTGGTGGCACAGTGGTTGAGTGCTGGGTTGTGAAGCTGCCCACAGCCTCTGCAGTGCCAGTTCAATCCCTGGCCTTTGGCAGGGGTCCCAAATGGCGTGCAGACCTCTCCTGCCGCCAGCCCGCTGCTCCCCTCAGCAGTGTACTTTGTTGGTCTGCCTGTTCTGCTCTCTGCTCT